GGGAGAGTGTGGCGTGTGAAGATGTGCGAAGCGTATAGTTCAGGCCATCGCTGCTGGCAATGGCGGCCACGGCTGCTCCAGGTGAGACAGAACGGGGGATCTTGTCAGAACAGACACAGGAGCAAAGACTGGGCCTTTCCGTCTCCAAGCCGAAGCCGGTAGGTGTTGCTTAGGCTGATGCTGAACACCAGGTCACTAGCTCCCGCTCAGTGTAGACACGAGCGCTGATGGCAGGTGGGCAGTTTAGCTATGCCAAAAAGCTCTACCGCTTCAGGGAACGAGGTGCAACCACGACCACGACATCCAATGATTAATTTCTGGCCCAGTCTGAGTCTCCGTCTGGGATGTGAGGTGGCCAGGCGGTTTCGGCCATGGTTGCCAGTCAAAATGATGCCGCACCCCAAGTCCCCAAGTCCAAGTGTGCGGTGACTGCTTCCTGCGCTTCCGGTAGTACTGCAGGTGGTGGAGAAGAACAACAAGGCTTGAGCCTTGAGCCGCTACCAGGAAGCCGACATGTGTGAGACCTTCTCAGCTTCGCAGGCCATCCACCAGTTTAGCTTCTCAGATGGAAGCCCTCGAGATAAGAACAACCGGGACAGGCAGGAGGGCATGTTGGACCGTGCATTTTCGAGTCATTGCACCCCCAAGCCTCAAGCAACTCTTCGCCCAGGCGGTTTTCTGAAGCTGCTCCCGGAAAGGCGAGCCCGGTGATGGAAAGCACAAAAAGTTGTTTCAACTTGCTTCCGCTCGAGGCCCCGCCGGTGGACTCCAAAGCGCTTGCAGCAGACATCGACAGCGTTTCTACCCTTCTTGTCCTTCTGCCGGTGTTGAGCATGTTGGGGAAGCGCGAGTCAACGGCCACACTCGCTCCGTCATACGTTCCAGGCAGACAAGCAAAGAAGGATCATTGCGGGCGTGGACACGGATCACATGGGCGGGGGGTTTTCCGCAGGAAAATCCGCCGAGGCACCGGCAACAATCCATGGGAAGTGAACGGCGTCGGCTCTCTCAATAAAGGAGCAGTACGGCTAGCTATGTTGTGTCACATCAGGTGCGAAAGGACGATGACGAGGAGGAGGGGCAAAGCCTGCACTCCAGGCTGCAATACTACAGGATGCACCGAAAGTTCGAGGCGGATACCAGCTACGGCTACGGTCACAGCAAAGCACGGTGACGTTGCCTGGCAAAGGATCTTTCTGTCAGGCTCCTCCTCCACCGCTGGAGCCTTTGGATGGAACGTACCTCAAAGCTCCCCGTGAGGTAGACAAAATGGTGAAGGCCTCAGTTTCGGCGTCCGCCAGCCGGACCTTCCGGAGACTCTGTGGAAGTTGTATCACTCAGGAGATGAATCTGAAAGACCACAGGACTGCCAACTCCCAGATTGTGTGCTCTTTTTGGTCTGCTGCAATCCCGAGCTCCTGGCGGTGCAACGGTGCAACAGGATTGGCTGGAAGCGAGATGCGCTGGCGCGAGTCTCACTGCCAAATCCCACATCCCGCCGAGTCAAAACATGCACCATGACGACATGCCTGCAGCCTGCAATCGCCTTGCAATCCCAAAAAGGCCAGAGCTCAGCACTGGAACCACGAGACACGCGAAAGAATCCTCTCTGCCCGACACCGGCGAGACGAGGCCGGAGTCTCCGCAAGCGCCTCTTGCCAGTGAGAGTCCCTAGTCCCTAAGCAGGGGCCCTAGCTTCTGGCAGGTAGCCGTGAAGCATGAATCAAATCTCCTCCAGCAGATTGCCGTCAAGGACGTCGAAGAAGATTGCAGTTCCTCGGAACGGCGATTCGGATTCGGGACACAGCACGTTAGAACGGATGCGTTGCAGGAGGAGCGAGCTCCGTCGCGAGTGGAGGCGAATCGGAAAGCGCAGGCGCCAGTGTCATGTGCTTCGAAAGCGCTTCAGCGCGTCTTTTGAGCCGCAAGGCGCCGCCCAAAAGGCCCCCCTATTTACGGCCCAAGGGGGCTTCCGAGCTTTCGGCCAGGTGGAGCGCTTGAAGCTGAAGTCCGTCGCTCGCGAGGAGCGCCTGGAGCAGGCGAGCATGGCCCCGCCTTGCCCTGCCTTGGCGAAAGAGAGAAAGCGGATTCTTTTTTCTTTGATCCGAGCAGGTGAGGCAACGAAAGTACGAGGACTCTCTCCGCGCGCGCACGCCCCTGCCTTGGCGCAAAACGGTGCCTCGGGATCTTCGGCCATGCAGGAGCACAGGCTGCGACAGCAGAGCGGCGGGCTCGCTTGGAAGGGCAGGGAAAAGGGAAAGATGGGGAAGGGAGGAAAGTGCGAGCGTGTTTTTGTGTGCCAGGGAGCTGCGAGAGCAGCTGGAGAACAGCGGGTTGAAGCGGAGCAAGCTCGAGAATCCCTCTTTCGACGCAGCTCTGCAGAGTGCTCCGAACAAACAAGAAGGCACATCCTTGCAGCGATGTGCGATCAGACAGACTCCCTCTCTCTTCGCTGTTGCGGCTTTGAGGCGCCCTGGAGGAGAGCCTCCAGGAAGAGGGCGCCTCTCAGGAAGAGGAGAAAGCGGAGGAGGAGAAGGAGACGGTGGACTGGTTTGAGTCCTTCAAGGAGGAGGACGAGGAGAAAGCGGAGGAGGAAGAGGAGAAGGAGAAAAGAACTCTGAAGTCTTAAAGTAAGTATTGTACATAGCAAGAGGTGACCCATAGACACCTCGCGTCTCACTAGACGATGGAATGGTGGCAGCCTGCGACGGGACGACCGAGATATCCCATTGCACGCATTGCCACTAGTTACAACCTGTCCTTGCCCGATGCCGAGGTGCTCTGACGTTGCTTGCTGCGGCCAGCCAGTCTCACAACATAGGGATCCCAGCCGTGGCTCTTAAACGTTAAATTTTAAAGCGCGGAATGTCCAGACTCAGACTTTCTAACAGTTGCCCTCAGCTTGGAGATCCTTGCAATCGCGAGAACACGCTAGCTCCCAGATTTTCTAGATAACCACCCAAGGCGCTCTGAAGAACGGATTGCCTTGAAAACTGGTGTGCCTCGCACGTGTATGAAGCACGCATTTGGACGTAGAGACTCCATACCTCGACCTGCAGGTCGAGATATACCTGGCTTTGGACCACCCACACATAGCCAGACTGATGATGGTCTACGAGGATGACCAGGCCGGATAATCCTGGTGTGCTTCCTGCACTGTTCCAAAGAGTTTGGTTTGAGGTGGTTTTGCAGGAGTTGCAGATTTAACGCTGGGTCCATCAATGGCGTTTGTCAAATGGGCTTATGTGATCTGGCCCAGGTAGGGCGACTCTGATATCTATGTACATCTGGACATTTTGGTCATATGATGCAAGTTTCTTTGAGACAGAGGACTTTTCTCTAGCCCTTCTCCATGCGCTTTTGAAACCTGTAGCGACTCGGCTTCAAAGGACCTGAGCAGGCCTAGCTTTGACTAATTCTTGGGCTTTCCTTCCACCTCCAGGCTCAAGCATTGACCGAAGCTGCGACCGTCGCAAAATTCGAGAAGTTGTCCAGGGAAACGACTCGCGCTCGCAGCCAGGAGATTCACCTAGTCATGGAGTATATGGCTGGTGGCGAGCTCTACGACCGGCTCTTCGATGCCAAAGTGTACAACGAGGTGGAACTGTGATGCTACGGCTGCTACGGCTGGCTAAATGCTGCCTTGCTCAGGGCTAAGGCTAAGGGCTAAAAGGCTCGGACAACGTCGCTGCACCTTGCCTTTGTGGCTTCAAAAATCACAACAAAGAGCTATCGAAGCTGATGTGTAAGCACTCCAAGATCTCTAAGATCCCCGAGCCCAAGCTCGGAAACTGGTGTTGCCAGCAGGCTCGGCATTCTGTAGTCACGTTTGCCATAGTGGCATCTCCGAGCTTGAGCAAACGACAAGCTTGCAAGAGAACTGCAGGCTGTACAAACTGAAATGTGGCATCGGGATGTGCTTTCTGTGCTGCCCTGCCCGGAGGAGATCGCTGCCAACACCTGCCATCAGATGTTGAAAGCGGCTGGAATCCCGGCACCTGAGACCAGACTGTTTGCAGTCACGGTGCTTCCGAGGTCTCTTACATGCATGCGCATCAGATCGCGCACCGGGACCTGAAGCTTGAAAATTTCCTCTACGAACGGAAGGACTGTTGAAAGGGACTTCCAGTGACCCGAGCCAGCGTTGGCATTAGTTCCGGTGGGGCTTGTAGGCATTCGCAATACAGCTTGCTCAGTGAAGACGAGATGCTGAGCAACAACGGCTTCGCAGGACAACAACCATCTCAAACTCATCGACTTTGGCAGCTGCCCCGGCCATCGGCCATGTCTCTCTTCTATTGCCAAAGGAAGATCTGGAGCTCCAAGGATTTGCCAAGTTCTGGGATCGAAGTACGAAAATGTCGCAGGCATCTTCGTGCATCGATTGTCTGCCTCAGCTGTGCAAATGCTTTGTCTCATTGGCAAGCCTTCTAGTTGCGTCGGGGTCGTTCCGGAGAGCCCACTGCCTCCACTGACTCCCTCAACCTTCCCACGTCTTGTAGCTGATTCTCAGTGGCTTCAGCGCGTGCTCGTCCTCCGTTCTCCCTTTGGCTCCCGACCTTCTCACGGCGAGTAGGGATCTCGCCCCAGACTTGGTTGGGACTTGAATCTTCTGTGCCAGATCCTACTGGGAGCTTCACTGGCCCAGTCTGGAAAGTGCATCTGGTATAGCCTCGACGCAGCTCCGTGCGTGTTGTGGACGTAGTGAGTAATGGCCGCAAACCCAGGACACAATCCAGACCCTAAACTGCCTTAAACCCTGCAGTTCTGTCATGTCGAGCAAATTCGCAGCTTCTTCCGTGACGAAGTTCGACTTGTCAAGGTTTTTGGGCGATTTCTTGGGAGTTGGTGCGCGGTAGTGTGTTAGCCAGGCTTGTGGATCCACCCACTATGTGGCACCGGAGGCCAGCATGCAAGACTGCCACATGCACTTGACTGCACGGGGGTTGCAGCTGCCCCATGCAAAGAAGCTCAGCAGTTGCCCAACAGGTGTTGGCCAAGTCCTACACCTTGAAAGCAGACATGTGGTCGCTTGGAGTCATCAGCTTCATGCTCCTTACAGGGCCGGGGACTCGGATGACACAGCTTCCTCGCCAAATTGTCTTCTATGCCCCGACCTCCCTATCGAACGCGCTCCTCCCTCATCACGTGATGGTTCGCGATGATCACCTGTAATACGGGGTGGGCACGGATCGCAGGGCTTGGACATCGGAACTCGAAGCATGTGAGACAGACTCGAAGCTTCGTGACCGAGGAGTCCTCCTTTTCAAGGGAGTAACGACAATGAAGTCCTGCGCAAGATCAAGAGAGGGCCTCAGCCGTCCGAAGCGGCGAAGCGTCGCTTTGCGGAAACAAGCCTGGATGGCGATTTTGAGTCGAACAGCAGTCGCGCATGCAGGGCCGGCAAGATCCACTGGTCTACGCGCTTCAAGCGTCTCTCAGAGGGTGCCCAAGATTTCGTCAAGGCCTGGGGCGTCAAGTCAGTCCGGAGCTTTGTCACCTCACCGTGGTGAAACCACAAACTGCGGTTGTCGTGAATTTCTTTTCCGCAGGCGCTGCTGCTGATGAACCCCGAGGAGCGTTTGGATGCTGCAGGCCTCGGAGTCTCTGCAGAAAGTGCGAAGTTTTTTCTCCCTGGGGAAGTGCTTTTGCTTTTGGGCAGAAGTTGCATCGTCTCGTGCTACTTGGGGCGAAGATCCCATCGCCTCGAGATCCGCATCGGTCGCCGCTTGGTCTATGCGCCACAGTCGCAGTCGGTGCAGGTGCACTGAGCCATCCCTGGATCACCGGGAAGGGGGGATTGCGTGGCAGCAATGCCAGGCACCCGAGATGCGCCCAACAGTGCAAGATGTCTTCCCGGTGTGCAATGCTGGAAGCTCCGACTGTACTAAGACCGTTCTCGACGATGGGATCAAGCTGAGTCTACGAAAATTTGCGAGGGCATCAACGTTCCGGCGTGCTGCTTTGCACCAAGTTTGCATGAAAGGCGGGCCATGTCTTGACAAGCTTGAGGAAAGTTGCTGGTGCAAGGTGCTGTCAATGATGGCTTGGTCTTTGTCTGCAGAGGCGGGAGCAAGACCTGTGAAGATTTGCACACCATCGATATGCAAGAGCCTGGCCAGGATCGTGCACAACTGCGCAATGAGTTCTTGTCCTTCGACACGCAGAACACCGGAACCATCACCCACCTGCAGGCTGTTCTGCTGGATCTCGCTCCATAAGCCCGGATTTCAGACAGAGTTCGGCAATATGCGTAACGGCACGAGTCCAAATACGGAATCTTGGGGTTTCTTCTGGCAGATGAAAGAAATCTTGGAAACGAACTATCACATCGACAGCATGGAGGCGGAGGTGGCACTTCCTGATTCAGAAGTGTCTTTTCACTGGGACCAACGTCTGAGCGTAGCAATGTCTCAGGCAGTCTTCAGCATGATGGATACCGACCACGACGATGTCATCGCCTACAGCGAGTTCCTTGCTGCGGCCCTGCAGGTCACGAACCCAGCAAAGATGGGAACAAGGTGAAGCTTGCCGGATGGGTGAAATAGCATGAACGCAGCAAAAGGGGCTGTTTTAAGAGAGCTCCCTCTTGCAACCTCTGGCCTTTCTGCAGGGACGGCTCAAGGTTCACGAGGACACACCGGTGCTCACAATCTAATCGAAATCTCACAGCTGGCGGAAACCTCCGGCAGGACATCTTGCGACGGACGTTCCGAAAGTTTGACATTGACAATTGCGGGCGCATCACTGTTGGAGCCTCAGACCGCGGAATAGCTGGGCGTTTCGCTCGTCCTTCCGCGTACAGTCCATACGGTCAGCCAGCATGGAGTTGCAGAGGCTGCCGAGTGCGACTCAGGCGGAGGACCTGAGAACCATTCTGGGCGAGCAGTTCGAGGGGACCGATGCAGAGGATTTGATCCGCGAGGTCCGGCGTTGACCTGTGACATCCTGTGACGGGGGGCCTGTCAGCTTCGGAAGACCGCACGAGTAGACTACGGAGTGAGAGTCAGCATCTTGGTACTCCCTAACGAGCGGCGGATCCAAAGGCATGCAAGCATCAGTGAGCCAGGCCGACACAAACGGCGACGGCATGATCGAGTATGACGAGTTCCTGCAATACTTCCACAATCACGAGCCGCATGTGGAGGCGGGGAGCAAAGCAGCGATTCAGAGACCTCAGCACCAGAGTTGTGACATGCTCGAACGTCGAAACCTCATGGTCATCTTTGGCCAGGGTGCAGAGGTCCAGGAAGATGCCAGAACCTCGGGCATTGCTTGGGTTCTTCGGGTGCAACACAGGTGACTTAGAGCGGGCAGCTCCCATCTAAGAGTGGCCTTGTTGGGCTTTGAACAATCCCCGCAAGACTGCTGTCAAGCTGCATCAGAGCAAGACCTCTAACGATGCCCAAGCGGGCATAACCTTGCCGGCCTGAGCGACACGGAAGGGCTGCAAGCTGCAAGCGCCGTAGCTCAAAGGCTGGAGCTGGAGCCTGGACACGGAAGACTCGATCTCTTTGCCGTCAGCCGCCTCAGTAACTCCCCCGTATAGAGTCTTGCGGTGTCTGTTCAGAAGCTTCTGCTTCTGCCACCCGCCACCTTGGAGGCCAACACACGGAAAAGTTGGCCAAAGTCATCGATCGGCTGCTGTCGCAGGACGGCCTTGTCAGGTGGACAAGTAGGACTTGTCACTTGTCTAGATGTCCATGTTTGCCTGGGGTCACTCCCGTTGCCAGCAGTGGCGTTGCAGCTCCCGCAAAGCAAGAAAGCCTCAATCGTTTCTCGGAAGGAGTCGTCGGTCATGGACGTGCTAAGTCCTGTGACAAGCCGGTACCCCGGAAAGAGAGCGAAGAAGAGCCTGTTTCCGAGGCTCTCGTGTAGTGGATTCAAAGTGTGCCCATCCTTTGGCGCACGATTCTTGAATTTCGCTGGGAAGCCAATAGAAACTGCGTGCCCTCCTAGGCGTAACTGGTAAACCTGGAAGACTGCAGTTTGCAGATCGTGATTTAGGGCTTGTCTCAATGAAGTGTCGATTTCCGATCTCGTCCTCGGAGTGCACCGGGTATGGGCACATGTCTTTGCTCCCTGCTTTAGCATGACTAGCAACACCCGGTCCCTTCTGATACCTCGGCCGCCCGTCGTGCATCGTCGTGCGTCGTACCGCCGAGCCCAAGACAAGATGCTTGCTGAGGTCCAATGCGGCGTCGCAACGACAAGGCGGGCAGTTCTGCAGAACGTCGCAACTGAGGATTGCATGCAGCAAAGCCGCCTCGAGCCATCTAACACTGTGAGGCGAAGACATTGCCGGCCCCAAAGAAGTCGAGCTGCAGCCCGAAGGGAGGGGGCTGTCGTTCATGCCTCAGAACGATGCAACTTGATGCTTTCTACGAGCTGAGGATGATGGAGGCTCCTTCCCAGCTCCGCTGGGTCGAGTAGATCAATGCTAGTTTCACCAGGTCAGGTCGAGGCACTCGCGCCTCACTCGGTGGACTACGTTTTCCGACTGGCCCAAATCTCGTTTAAAAGAGCGCCTTGCCAGGATGGGCTCGATGTGACTGCGTCCCCAAACATGGAAAGTGTCCCAAAAACATACTGCAATGAAGCCCCAGTCTTGAAAAAAATCTAGAAAAAAGTTCAGGCCGTGGACCCGCTTGCATTTCTGCAGCAAGAAGTCCGTCCGAGTTGTGTCGTGCGAGAGCTCTTGGGATACTTGACCTTGCCTGGCCTCAAGACCTCCGAGAAGTGCAAAGAAGCTTCTCGCAATGAATTGGAATCTGACAAGTTGACAACCTGTTGGAGCTGCAGATCGTGAGAGTCACATCTGCATAGGGTGGTGTTCCCAATGCCTGACCCTGTGCGCCATGTCGCTCTGGCTACAACCTTGAAGGCCAGACTGTGACAGAGACGAAATAGGCAAAAGCAAAACCACCCTCCTTCAGACCAGCTCTGCCATTTTGCGACCAGGTTCATGTTCACAGCGCCTCTGACCTACCGCGTGGCGATGCCAAAGGTCTGTGCGGAGCTTGGGCTTGAAAGCAGCCGCGGCCACAGCCGCGTTCTGAGCCTCTGATCACTGTGAGCCCAGCTCCGAGGTCCGATCCTTACGTGGTGTGCTTCCTTCCACCGGGGGTGGACCCCGTCTTCCAAACCCAGGCAATGTGGACAGGGTGGGAACTCTCCCGACTATTGGGATATGCCGGAGACATATTAGCAGGCTTCAAACTTGGGTGAAGGTCACGCAACGTTGCATGAAAAAGCGAAGTCATGGCAGGTTTGCAGGCAAACGCTGGACCCGGTCTGGAACGAGGCGTCGCGGATGTTCTGGATGCAGAGATCGGATTCGAATGCCGTGCAGGAACATCAGTTCCGCTACAACCCGGGCGCCAGCCTCCAGTTCCAGGTGCTGGACAAGGACGGAAGGTTGCCTGCGCCTCCGCGAATGTGCACCCAGTCCGGCGGGTGCTTTGAGCCTCCCTTGACGTTCAGGATGACTCGCTGAAAGATCTCTCCGAGCGCACGGAGCCCAGTGGAGCCCAGGTGTAGGCCTAGGCACATCGCTGCCCCGGCTGCAGGCTTGCTTGACTTTCGCGGAATCGGCTCGGACTTCCTCGGGCAAGTGACCTTGGAGAGTGAGGAATTTTATCCGCCGCTCAGCTGGAGATGAGCACTGCAACATACTGCAACCAACCCAAGCCGCGTCACACTCAACTCACTCCTTGCGTCCCTCCCCCCTTCTCTGAGCGTCGTCGACGCTTCGTGGGAGGCGCCAACTCTGCTGATCCTTTCCGTCGTTTCAAAGTGGTTGGGTTGTTTCAGCTCTCCCGAAAGCCTAACTCGCAAGTTTCCGGATTACACAGTCAATGTGATGAAACCATGCCATGCGAGTCCAACTCAGCAGAACAGGCTTTGCAAGTGAGACCCGCATGGAGTAAGTTCTTTCGTATGGCATCCGGAGAGAGTCTTGCTTGTATTGTCAAGGAAGGGGTTCGAGGGCGATGTCATGCTCGAGGGTGTGCCTGGGGGCAAGAACGTGCGCCTGCCGGGTTCCTCATGTCAGCGGTTTCAACCCAGCACTGCTGACGAAAGCCTGGTGCCAGGCTATTCTGCATTTGCGAATCGCTGTCGATGAGGGTCAGGCCTAAATCACAATGCATGAGCAGAGCTGTGGGATGTCACACCGCTGGCTGATAGGTGCGCCTGCCCATTCCTTCCCAGCCTGCGGCACCGCCTCACGAGACTCTCATGGACACCGCCGAAGCCCAGCAGTTGTGCGGAGCTCAAGCTCGTCCAAGTGGCTACGCCGCTGTGCTTGAATTTGCGGTACGACCAGGCTCTACAGCACGGAGGAGATGCCGAAGGAGAGGAGGCCGCAAGTGCGGCTTCAAGCGATGCCCAGACTGACTGGTGGCCGGTCCTGCGAGGCAGCCAACCACACAGCCTCCTCAACATCCCCAGCATCCTCCCTCGGAGCATCGTCTCCAACAGAATGTTCGCCAAGAGCAGAGGTCTGGTTTTCTGACCTGTGCTTTGCAGGTTCTTCGCCGACCTGCACAGCAGTGATTTACAAAGTTCATTTCGCTGATGCGGTGAATCGTTCGCAAATTCGCAAGCTGATAGCTGCAGTTGCCCTGTGAATCTCTGCAGAAGGTAGGGTGCCAAAGTGATAAATGCCTTCATACTGCACAGCACTACAACTTTCTCCGTGATGGTGCTTCTGGAGTGGTGGTGCTTGTGCTGGTGGTAGTGCTGATGCTGGCAATGGGATTGACATGTTTTCTTGCGAGTGCCCTGCAGTGGAAGTTGCTGTGCGAGAAGCAATGCACTTGATTCTTGGAGCCGTGCTCTACTAGTTAGTTGATGTTAAGTCAAGATCTCAAGCTTCGATTGTGTCGACGTTCGACTCCTGTGGCTACAGTTTGGTTGAGAGGGGCGGATCCTGCTCCTCCACAGCGGCACCCGGGGGCTTACATGAGGCACCGTGCTGCCGTGGTCGGCCGGTGCTATGCCAGCTGGCATGCGGGCCCTGTGCAGGTTTGGCAACTTCGCGTCACGCTTGCAGCAGCTGCTGCATTGCCAACGGCACGCGACAGTGGGAGGCTTCAAACATGAGATGAGAAATCTCAGTATTATTGCTTGAAGTTGTTCAAGCATCGTAAGAGGTGCAGCCCATACTGCCTTTGTGACCTCGCCGGGGACACGCCTTTTCAGTGCCGAACAGCTGTCGTCACAGACTCACGGGAACCAGCAGGGCTGCCCAGCCTCTTTTGTTTGCATTCGATGCTCGAAATGCACCCAGCTGCACTGCTGCTGAGGTGTGGAACAAGACGGTCGGCATGGAGTTCTCCGGCAAAGAGCCTTTGGTCTTTTCCATATACAGCAAGGATGCCATGCCCTTGAGTTGTGGCAGTTGCACGCCGACTTCGTCGAATGAAGACGGTTCCGCAGGAAGTTTGGCCTGAGAGAGACACGTTACTCGCGACGGTCCTGTCCTCGCAGAAAGTGGTGGACATGCGTTGTTGAGCAGATGCAGCGCCCTGAGCTTGGTGGCTTAGCGAAGGCCACACTTTCAGCTAATCAGCTGCTTCCAGACGGCCGCTTTCTCAGTCCCTTGTTTGTTTGCATCTTCCCGATTCTGTCGGTGGATTTCCAGGCTTCGATGGAGACCTTGGGCTAGAGCTCTGCAGCGGCGTCGGCGACCCAGGTCCAGCTAAGCTGCCAGCCCCAAGCGCGCTTTATGACTTGTCCAGGCCGAGCTTCACGCACACTCCGAGCGACCTTCTCTGAGAGTGCAGGCGCCGTTTCGCTTGACATTGGCCTGTGCGCTCTCACTGTCTTGGAAGTTTCACGCGCTCAATTCTCGCCCGTCACAGGTGACTTGCCACAAAGTGCAGCGAACGGCTGTCCGAAACCCGATTTGGTCTTGTAGACCCTGAACTCCCTGAAAGCCCTACTTCGTTGCTTGCTGGTAGAAGGTTTCCGCCGCTCGCCGCGAGAAGCACCAGCACCAGAAGCATTTAGAGGCGTCAGAGCGGCATGATGAGCGCCAACACCAAGACAAGGCTTCAAGCCCGAACCCCAGTTTCGGCCATGCGTGAAACCCTGAAACCCCACTGTTTCAGAAAAGTTCTCAGGTCCGAGGCAGAAGGCGAAAGCCACACTGAGCCCAAAGAGGCTTTCAGAGAGCGCCAGAGCAAAGAATCGATGCAGAGCAGCACACCGCAAAGTGATATGACGGCGGCAGGCTGAAAGTGCTCATCCAGAGCTTCCGAGGATTGCATGGGATGGACTTGTCCTCAAGGCAACGGGGTTAGATTCGACGGGTGCAGGGCGAACACAGTATGGTAGACAGTGGTACGCATAGACAGGGGTGACAACATGGTTTTGTCCACTTCTTGCAAATTGGCGTCTGTCCTACTGGGCCAGGCGAGTCTTCTCCTGCATTTGCGCCATCGCCGGGCCAGCTTGGCACGATTGTAGCAGTATACCGTTCCCAGAGAGCGAGACGGAAGATTTTGCTTGAAAGGCGGAGATATGCCGACTTGCAGACTGGCCCCGCCATGGAGCAGGGATACCAAACAGTCAGGAGCCCAGGTGACCGGGTGCATCGCCTCTGGTACATGAGCATGTCAAAAACTGGTCTTGTAGCAGGGGAAACTAGACTCGGCAAGTTTCACCGGCGTCGTATTGTCAGATTTCCCTCAAACCTGAAATGCCCGAAACCCGACTTGAAACTTCGCCTCAGCCACTGTCTCAGCAGATCAGATCAAGCATTGCGGGTGTAAGAGTTTGGGGGTGAGTCAGGCAGCTTCCATGTCGCGGACCTTACCCTGACAAGAAACACGCAATGCTTTTCGAGAAGATCAGTTGATATTCTTATTGCACTTATCTAAATCGTTGACGTGACCGACGTTCCAATCACCGGAAACGGATATTCTTACCCTGAGACGAGCAGGGGTTCGGGTGCTGTGTTGAGATTTTTCCCTGGAAAGCTTTGGAGTCTAGGATTTCATGGCATCAGACAGGGAGTGGACTGGCGGTTGTGGTTCTTGTCGCTGTCGTGATCGTCATCGTCGCACTACCACTACGACTGCAGTAGTGTTTGTACTCTTAAGTCCCAGGTGTGGAATCTCGAAGGTGAGCTTCAAGACTATGTGGAGGGAGAAGACCTGGAGTTCCACGTGGCATGCGAGGATGCTGGACTAAATATCACTGCTCCATCGCTGACTGTGTATGGGCCCAGGATACACAGACACAGCTTGATGGATCTGCTGTCCTGCGGCCCGAAGCCCATTCTCTGATGTTTCGAGCTGAGCTTCAGGTGGGCATGTGACTGCCCTGTCCTGCGACTGAAGGTGCCATCAGTTCTACCCGTTCGGATTCAACTCCGACATCACCATGGCAAACGATGGCCAGGGCCGCTGCCCTAGAACGCTGGCACTTTCTCCGTGACATGCCAGGACATGTTGAACAGTCAGTGGCCTTGCATGGCCTTTGTTTCTGCAACATGATGGGGCTCTCAGACTGATGCCAAGGAATAGTGGGACTATTGCGGGTGAAGGTCAGCGTGGAGAAAGGAGCCAGTCAAAAGCAAGTCTTTCCCACAGGGACGGGGGCTCAAATTGCTCAACACTTGGTTCGATGTTGCTTACAACAGCTGCCGGCTTGCTTTCGCAGACGCGGAGGTTGCGAACTCTGGGCATCCAGCAACCATCTTCTGCTGCCGATGCGAGGCTAAAACAAGGAGGCCTGAATCTCAACTTGAAGATCCGGCGGGTGGTCCTCTCTGCTCCGCCGAGCTCCGCTGAGTGTTGCAGGCGACGTTTGGCTCCGCAGCCTCCGACCCTGGGACGCCTTCCATGCATCCCTGGCATCAGCTCAGGGCCAGGAGCGACATCGACTCTCCGAGCAGCCCGGGCCCAAACATGAAGCTTGCGCAAAACTGGAAGCGTTGTGTCCGGAGCGCCCGGTCAGGTCCAGCGCGATCTTGAAGCCGAAAGTGAGCTCGTGACTCAGATGTTTTCGGCAGCTGCCGTGTTTCGACTCATTTCGATGCCTCGAGGTCGCATGCCCATGTCCTCGCAAAGCCAGGCCCAGGCCGGAATCGAACTTCGCTCAGCTTCGCCTTCAGCCAGCAATGTGAGAGGCAGTGAGCGGACGCTCCGGCCGTTCCGCCTCCCCGTCCTCACCCACCAAGTTGGGGCCTCGGAGCAAAAAAACGGGTGCCAGCATTACCGGGTGCAGCATCTCTAGGAGACAAGGGAGCCACCTCCAAGCATCAGCGCCGCTCATCTGAAGATCGCCTTCTTGCAGACAAAGTATCGTCGAATGCGCGACCTGAGACCTGAGGCCACTGAGGCCACTTGGTGTGCAGCACGTTCTTCAAGTCTGCCAAGTGGGCATCAGCCCCAGCCACGGTGGCCACGGCCAGGGCGGCCAGGCAAGCAACAGCCCTCTGGCGCTGAGCCCAGTTCCAACCCAGAGACAGCCGGCGGCAATCGCTGCACCTCACATTGGAATCCCAGTCGTTCCAGTCACCATGGGGATCTCTCCAGCAGCGCCTGCTCTTGCGCTTCCGATCGGATATGCGGGGCCGAGTCTCACCAGCACGGCAACTTCCATGGCAGGTCTTGCGCTCGGCTTGTTGAAGTGATGATGAGCCACTTGTGTTTACTGAACTGAAAGCCTTTCAAGCTGTAACACTCTGCGAGCACGCATCCAAAATGAAGACCTGCTGTGGAGTCACGGGTTCCTGAGCTCTGAGGTATCATGCCTACACCGGCGGTTGCTGCTGGTGGACGGCCGGTGGATCCGGGAGTAATCTCGTTGCTGAAAGAGGCCCAAGCAAGCCAGAAGCTCAGTTTGTCGCAACGCATTCGATCAACACATGCCTTGCCCGCGCGCTGCTGTGAGGCCTCGAAAGCTTACGCACAGGGTCGGGGACGATGTACGCAGTGCGCTGAATGAAAAAGAGGAATAGCTTTATATTTGCACTTTGTTGGGCTGCACAATGTTGGGATGCTGCCATTAGTTAATGCTTCGCGCAAGCATTCGGAACGCTCACATGATTCCAGGCTATGCTTGTCAAGCTATCAAATGGTCGAGCGCACAGTCACTTTCGGGAACTAAGTTTCCCCTTGTGCACTTATTGACCTTTCACTTGAAACTTAAATGTTGTCGAAAGCGATAGTTTCGGAAGAGTCTCATGCAACTGGAACGTCCAAGCAGACGGTTCTACGTTTTGAGGATATCTAGACAGAGAGAGAGAGAGAGAGAGAGAGAGCTTTTCAAGCCTAGGATGTCACGTGTTTGATGAAGCTCCGCGTGCACACACGAGACCATGTTTCCGGTTACCGAGCCTCTGGATGGTTGCCAAAGGGGCGCGGGGAAGAGGCGGGTTGGGGTTGTCTTAGTGTTCGGGGTCGGGGGGTAACAGCTCGGGAATCTGACACATACTCGGTAGTAAGTGCAGCGGTCAGTGGGACCCCAATGCCGTCCACTCCCAAAACAGTGGGTGGACGGGCGGGCTGAAAGCCTGAGGGTCACGACAGTGACCCCTAAGCCCGGCAGAAAGAAAGAGAGAGAGAGAGAGAGAGTACCCACAGGGGGTGGACGGGCGGGCTGAAAGCCTGAGGGTCACGACGTGACCCCTAAGCCCGGCAGAAAGAAAAGAGAGAGAGAGAGAGCCCTCATGCCCGGCAGAAGAAGAGAGAGAGAGAGAGACAGAGAGAGAGAGAGGGTCCGTCCTTGCACCCCAAACGCCCTGCAAGCAAGCAAGAGAGAGCTCAAGCTCCTAATGCCGATGGCATGCTTGCAACATAAGCGTCCCGCAACAGTCGGGGGCGCGGACACGCGCGGTGTAGGGGGTAAAACCCCTACACCACAGCCCTGGCGAAACAGAGAGAGAGACAGAGAGAGAACAGTGGGCAGCCCCCAGCGGGGGGTTCGCCCTCACGCCCGGCGAAAGAGAGAGAGAGAGAGAGAGAGAGGGAGAAAGAGAGAGAGAGAGGGAGAGAAAGAGAAGGCCCTTTGTTAATCAAATTGTTATATCCATTGTTCGGAAGCAACACATATTGTGATAGGTTTGTCAGTCGGAAAATGTGTAGAACTATGTATCACTGAAGTAGTCATGTTTCCACTGATATCTCTATATAGTGCATTCGTTTGGTAAGAAATGTTAGCTCCCAGCGTCTGGCACCCTTTAGTTCTTATTCCCCACATCACTGTGGGTTTTTATTTTTGCGCTGCACCGCCCCATGCCCGCAGAAGCCCGCCCGCCCCACCACGCGCGGCACACACAACACACACACACACACAACACACACACACACACAACACACACAACACAACACACACAACACAACACACACAACACACACAACACAACACACACAACACACACACACACACAACACACACGACACAACACACACAACACAACACACACAACACAACACACACAACACAACACACACAACACAACACACACAACACAACACAACACACACAACACAACACGCACAACAACACTCTCCTCCGAGGGCTCTCGGAGGCTCTTGGAGGGCTCTTGTTGGATCATGCGCGCGCTAAAGGGGTCCTAGCTCTTACGAAGAGTCTTCCGCGACTAAAATCCTCTCCTCCGAGGGCTCTCGGAGGCTCTTGGAGGGCTCTTGTTGGATCATGCGCGCGCTAAAGGGGTCCTAGCTCTTACGAAGAGTTTTCCGCGACTAGAATCCTCTCCTCCGAGGGCACTCGGCGAGGCTCTTGGAGGGCTCTTGTTGGATCATGCGCGCGCTAAAGGGGTCCTGCTCTTACGAAGAGTCTTCCGCGACTAAAATCCTCTCCTCTGAGCGCTCTCGGAGGCTCTTGGAGGGCTCTTGTTGGATCATGCGCGCGCTAAAAGGGTCCTGCTCTCGGGAAGAGTCTCCCGCGACTAAAATCCTCTCCTCTGCCTCTGAGGGCTCTCCGAGGCTCTTGGAGGGCTCTTGTTGGATCATGCGCGCGCTAAAGGGGTCCTGCTCTTTCTCCCGCGACTAAAATCCTCTCGTCTCAATGCCTCGTTTCGGCTCCTGGCTGGATTGTGCTCGCTTGTAGTACAACTTTAGTACTGGAAATGCCTCGTTGCGGCTCCTGGCTGGATTGTGCTCGCTTGTAGTACAACTTTAGTACTGGAAATGCCTCGTTTCGGCTCCTGGCTGGATTGTGCTGGCTTGTAATACAACTTTAGTACTGGAAATGCCTCGCTTCGGCTCCTGGCTGGATTGTGCTCGCTTGTAGTACAACTTTAGTACTGGAAATGCCTCGTTTCGGCTCCTGGCTGGATTGTGCTCGCTTGTAGTACAACTTTAGTACTGGAAATGCCTCGTTTCGGCTCCTGGCTGGATTGTGCTCGCTTGTAGTACAACTTTAGTACTGGAAATGCCTCGTTTCGGCTCCTGGCTGGATTGTGCTCGCTTGTAGTACAACTTTAGTACTGGAAATGCCTCGTTTCGGCTCCTGGCTGGATTGTGCTCGCTTGTAGTACAACTTTAGTACTGGAAATGCCTCGTTTCGGCTCCTGGCTGGATTGTGCTCGCTTGTAGTACAACTTTAGTACTGGAAATGCCTCGTTTCGGCTCCTGGCTGGATCGTGCTCGCTTGTTGTGCAAAATGACGTTATCGTTTTTTCCTCCTTATCGTTTTACAAGTCAAACGCATCATCGCGAACACCGCGGGCAAGTGCTTACATAAATCGACCACGCGGGGTTATTATACAAACCCAACTGGAGCTAGCGAAAGAGCTACAACTAGAGCTAAAGCCTCGAGCTGAAGCTAGAGCTGGAACTAGAGCTACAGCTAGGGCGAGAGCTACGAGTAGAGCTGGAGCTAGAGCTAGGGAGAGAGCTACAAGTAGAGCTGGAACAGGAGCTGGAATTAGAGCTAGAGCTAGAGCTAGGGAGAGAGTTGCAACTAGAGCTACAGCTGGAGCTAGAGCTGGAGCTAGCCAGAGCCAGGGAAAGAGCTACAACTAGAGCTAGAGTTTAGAGCCAGGAAGAGAGGAGAGAGCTACAACTAGAGCTAGAGCGAGAGCTAGAGCTGGAGCAGGAGCTGGACCTAGAGCTCGGGAGAGAGCTACAGCTGGAGCTAGAGCTGGAGCTCGGGAAAGAGCTACAACTAGAGCTGGAGCTAGAACTCGGGAGAGAGCTACACCTAGAGCTACAGCTGGGGCTAGAGCCAGAGCCAGGGAAAGAGCTACAACTAGAGCTAGAGCTCGGGAGACAGCTAGAGCTAGACCTCGGGAGAGAGCTACAACTAGAGCTGGAGCTTGAACTAGAGCTCGGGACAGAGCTACAACTAGAGCTAGAGCTAGACCTCGGGAGAGAGCTACAACTAGCGCTGGAGCTGGAGAGGTGGGCGAGAGCTGGAGAGAGCTACAACTATATGGAGCAGGAGCTGGAGCTAGAGCTCGGGAGAGAGTTACAACTAGAGCGAGAGCTGGAGCTAGAGCCGGATCAGGAGCTAGAGCGCGGGAGAGAGTTATAACTAGAGCTGGAGCTAGAGCTCGGGAGAAAGCTACAACTAGATCTGGAGCAGGAGCTAGAACTAGAGCTCGGGAAAGAGCTACAACTAGAGCTGGAGGCTGGAACTAGAGCTAGAGCTAGGGAGAGAGCTACAACTAGAGCTAGAGGTGGAGCTGGAACTAGAGCCGACGACAACATGTACGCCATGTGCTTTGCCGCCGGTTGCGACCGTAACAGCAGCTTCTACAGATGCCAGAGCGAGGAGTGTGGATGGGTAGGAGGGTGGAAGGGGGGTGGAGTAGGGGTCCCAAGCGGGTGCCCGTGCGAACAGATAGGAACACAGACGCGCACACACACATACACACAACGCAAACGCACGCGCACACACACACACACACCCACACACACACACACACCCACACACACACTGATGGATTCGGCCAAGAGTACGAGTGCAAGAGGAAAAAGAGAGGCATGTTGTTGTTGTTGCAAAAGCTTGTCAGATTGCGGCAACCGTACAAATTGTTTGTCTAATCTGGACACCACAGGGGGCCTGTCCTCAAAACTAATCTTGGCACCACAGGGGGCTGCCGAAAATTGTGCAGGTACATGACTGAGCGTCCTCAATCACTTCCCTTCCAGTGACCTAGCTTCGTTGGATCAGGTCAGTCACTGGAAGCCTGATCCCCCTGCAACAGTTGATTTGGTAAATGTCCAATGTCTGATTATGTTGAAAAGCAAAAATTGCAAACAGTGTAGGAGTGACCCTCTGCTCCCATGTGCTAGGGAGGTTCACACACACACAGCCCCAAATGGGGCGTACATGCTTCAAGTAGAGTGAAAGGTCTGATGCACGGCAATAGGAGTGAATGGCGCACTTTTCTCGCTGTCAATAGCGATCGGGTGATTGTCGTACCAGCATTTTTGCACAAGCGGTTTTGGACCGCTTGTGCTGAATAGTAGGATGCACAATATCGTAAGGTGCAATCGAGTCAGAAGACCAAGGATCTCGAGATGGAGACCGGTGTGGGTCCTCAGCCAGGTGTGACGTTGCCGTAGGTGACGCTGATGATGTTGAATGCGAAGAGCGTATCCTCTTTCGTCTTGTAGTATGTGGATGTTGGCGT